CTCCACCCACTGTGCCGGGCCAAATGTTTGGGGCGAAAGTTTTTAGTTTGGGGGGGGGGGGGGATTTTATGGGTGGGGGTATGGGGGCGCGATGTTGAATCGTTTTACAATTTGATTAAGTGTAGGTTAGGTTTAGCTATCGTGGAGATCATACAGTCAGATCGATCTGTTTAATTTCGGCATCGATTGATAAGTTGATTAACTGTTGCAATATTATGCACGACTCTAAAAAGTGAAAAAAAAACTTTTTAAACTATTTTGAACTGACTATAACTATTTTTTAGTTCGATGAAACACAAGGTGAAAATCGATTTTTTTCTCCTTTTGTTGTCTGAGGGCGACGTGGGAATCGATAATATTGACAATATTTTAAACCACTAAAACACATAAAAATTGATCTTTTTTTTCACTTTAATCAGATCCAATTGACTAGTCGTAAGACAAGGCAAAATCCTGGCTGTTCCGACAGCCTTTTTATGTGTAATCGAATAACCATCAGTCGAAAATTTGTGTAGTGAAAAATGGATACAAACATTTCATTCGCCCGATTTCAATTTGGATCGACTTTGTATTGCGTAAACATTTGCCAAGCATAAATAGGTTGCGTTACGCGTTCAATATCTCGAAAAAAACTTCACAGTGCGCATAAATTAGTCCAGATTTTGCCCATTTTGGCATTTTTCAAATCATAAGAACTTTATAAAGTTAAATTGAAATTACGCGAGCGTTTTCATTTGAACTGAAGGGGTCGATTTCTTAGGTTATAAAATTTACTTTGGTACAACTGGTTTTTTTCGATTGACATTTGACAAAATTACCCGCCCCTCCCACAGAAAAAAGATTTCACATTTTTTGAAAATCGGAACAATTAGCTCTCTACTTTAATGCTAATTTTTTTAAACTTTTTTATTTCAGATGTTTGAGTTTGATACTTTTGTCGTTTATGCGAGCAATCTGTTATAAATTTTAAACTTTTGACTGGTTGTACATATTCATTTTTTGGGAAGGGCATGATTCCCATTGACTTTTCCATGCTCAACCTTCAAGAAGATTTAAAAATAGGCGACCAGACTTTGAATTACCCCACTTCATTTTTTGCTAGGATTGCACAAAAAATATCCAAAAACGCTCAAAAGTGGAACAAATTGATTTCGTTTTCGAAATCAAAATCTGCAATACATTCATGTTGTCAAAAAACGATCGTCATACAATTTTCATTCATGGAAAAAAAATTTTACCACCTAACTTCTTACTATTCCATAAAAAACTGCATAAAACAGCATGATTAGCATTTTTTCTTGAAAAAAATTGTATGACTAACGTTTCTTTTTTATGAACTTTTTTTATGAGAAAACCAATAAGTGTGTAGCTTGTTTCAAAAGACTGGTGTGTTGGCGGACTTTAGAATGACGAATCATGAGAATATTGTCTGGATTAAGAAAACTCAACCACAGCCTACGCGCAGTCTTACGTCAATCAATCAAGTATGAATCAATTTTTTCCTTTTTTTTTCATAACTGTTACTCACAATCTGTGGAAGACTTTCATTTCATATTTTTTGCCGGTCCCCAGCCAATCGGTTTAGGTATCAAAAATGCTATCAAAAAAGCTCAGTAACGATAAATGACCGGATCGTCGTTTTTATTGTATTATGAGAAATTTTTTTCGTTCCGACCTTTTGAAGTTGTATTCGGATCTGTTTTAGTTTGTTCTTTTTTTCATTTTTTTTTCATGCAAAATAAAGTACTATAAATTTTCATTGGAATGGGCTGAACATGAGAGAAAATTGTATTTTTTGTTCCGACCAATTGAAAAGGAGGAGGAAACTTATATTCGGATGTGTTTGAATTTTTTCTTTTTTTTTCAATTTTGTTTTCCACGCAAAATTGATTATCACAAAAAAATTACTGAAATGAGTTAAGGATGATATATCGGATGATTTATACTTGGGGACGATATATCATAACAAAGCCCTTTCAGTCGTGATTCGAACGAAATTAAAAAGAAAATTCTCAATGTTGAGAAAAGCGGTTTGAATTTTAGATTTTTGGGTCAATTTTGAGATAATAAGGTGAGGGTGCAGGCTTAAAATAGCTCATTTAGGTTAAGTTAAGCCGTGAAAGCTTAACTTTACTCAACTAAAATTTTTGAGGGTAAAAGTTTTAATAATTGTTTCACGATTTTTTTTCTAGCCATTTTTCTTTAAAATCTGTTTTCCAATTGACCTTCGGATTTGCTTAATTTCTTTGTTTTGCTTAGAATTTTTTCATCACGCCACACAAAAAAAACGACGCTAATTTGAAAAAAAAATGTTTGTATTTTTAAGATTTTGGTCAGATCATTCTGTGCTACTTGCACAGTAACCGGCTATCCTTGTGTTCATATGGCAAGGAGGCCTCTGTTTGACAAAGTCACCTGTTTGTTTTGAACACAATTACGTTTTTTTGTTAAGTTTACGAACAAAATTAAGTTTAATTGACAAATCATAGATCTGACATCCAAGAAAATTGTATGACTAGCGTTTTCGCCATGCAAAATACAATCAACTTGAGACCAACAAAAAGGTCTTTAATTCAAGAAAAAACGGCAATACGTTTGTTGAAATTTACTAAAAACAAATTTGAAGGTTATTTCGCAGTTTTTTCTTCATATGGAATTGTGCTTGTGATCCAATTTCCTTGGATGGAAAATGTTTGATAAATTTTTCTCTAGACTTTATTTATAGAATTATATGAGAAGCATTTTTTGTATGGAGGTCCACCTGCATATCTGCAAGAACATTAACTTTTCATTTTTTGTTATCCAGATGTTTAAGTCCAGTGCTACATTTTTGTGTTGTGTTTTGAACTCTTAATTTGGATGTGAAATTGCGTTAGTTTTTTCATAAAATTTCGTTCAGTTCTGATTTTCTAAGTTTCTCCGATTTCTAGATAATTTTTCGAGGATTATTTGTGTTTTCATTGTGCCTCAACGTTTCTGCATAGACTCTAGGTCGCGTTTGCAAAAAAAACACTAATATTTGAAAATTAATCTACGTTACATATAGTTCTGGTGAGACTTAAAAATAAATAGTTGAAAGTGGAATGAGTTTCAGAAGTTCAACTGATGCGTTCTTCCTCCGCCTAAGTTGATCATGCTGTAGCTTCGTTTGCTCATATCAAGAGGGTCCAAATTTGTGTCGAATATAGCCGGAGCATTTTCTATGATAAAAACCAGAAGTGCGTTCTGCGCTTTGATTGGCGCAATCGTCTCTTGGACATCGTTTGAAGCATTTATCACGTGGGGAAACAAGCTTGGCGCCCAAACTCGGGCCAAATTTTCAGCATCCATATTCGTTTTCTCAACGTGAACAATTAGCTTCCTAAAATGCGTGATCAAAAGAAGTAAGGTTGACCTATGAATTGGGTGCATTTGTTTGATAATTCTGCGAAGAGACTTCGTAAAAATTTCAGCATTAGCCGAACTTTGCATGTTTTGCAAATATTTTTTGTGCAAGTTAAGCATGATCTCGTAACATTCAGCTGTTATAACAGGTTCCGAAAGGTCGCGGAATAACTGCTTAATGAAGGACGCAACACATAGCACGTCTGTTGGATTTTCGCAGAAATCCCTCAGTTCCGAAATGGACTTCGGGAAAGTTCTGCCCCAGAAATGCTCGTTGAGTTGAGCCAGACGTCTCACTCTGCAGCTTTTGCGGTACACTCCTTGTGTTAGACAGTGTATTCTGACGAACTCAGTGCACATTTCAGCAATCGCCGGGTACTCCCATCCTTGGTGAGTTAGCTGCTGTAGACTAGCTCTGTCTTGATATAATGAGCGATTTTTAAGCTCGTCGAATTTGGGTCGGGACTCCATTCGCTTTTTGAGGAGCAGCACGTTTTTGCCGAATATGCTGGAGACGTGTTTGGCGTTGGCACTGGTGTTGTTGTAGCCGGTCTTCCGGATGAAGTACTTTTCCAAGTCGACCGTGCTGTTGAGGATTTTGATGCTGTCGAAAGGGAAGTATCCTACCTGAAAAAAAACCAACCAAATTCAGTAAACTTGTTGCTTTACAGTTTATTTTTGAGTCGACGAAACATTAAATAAACAGAAGCTTAATCTAGTTCAATTCAACAAGGTTAAATTTTAGGGGGATTTGTATTTTTTTGCCAAATACCTGAAAGAATAATTTGACAATAGAAAACTTATGGTTTGCATCACAAAAAAGTTTGAATGTTTGTTTTTGCACATTTGGATTACAATACTACATAAAATATAATAGTATATAATATTATAGTATTATGTTATAATATAGTATACATAAAATAATACTACTAGTGTACAATAGAAACACACTAGTGACTTGCAATATAAAGATTGAATTTTCACTTCAAGTTTGTCTAAAAACCAAAAATTACGAGACGGAACTGTGTAGTTTTGAATGGTTCGCGAATTCTAAAACAAGGCTAAACGAAGCTGTGTAGCGGAACCTGCAAAATGGTTAATTTTTAATGAACTTTTTACTGTTGTGGAATCTAGAGACAGGTGGTTACAATAATTTAACGCTAAAAATGCTCACTGAAGGAGCAAAATTTGTCGAATGCACAACAAAACTTGTCGAAGCTAGAAATATTTGCGGAACTCGTCATTAAACAATCAAACAGGTTTGTAGTGGCCTGCGATGTCGCGGAATCAACATTTTGTGAGCGGAATTCGGATTTTGCAGCGGAACCTGCTATTTGAAAAAGTTCCAGATTGATCAAAACTCAATTTCAATTATCCGAAAGAACGTGAAAAACAAACTCCTGGAAGTTTTTTATAATTAAAAAATCTGGAAGGTTTTTAAAACGGTAGAACCAAAAAAATTAGTCACCCAAGGTGTTAAGATTTGTTATTGGATTCCACTGATGTCCATAACTATAAATTCCGCATTCTCTTTTCATATAAGCTAGTTTATAGTTCATCACTAGCTTAATTGTTCCGCTACCTTTTTATCGTTCAAACTAGAAACTGTTGGTCCGACTTTCAAAGATAGTGACGGAATATTTGCGCTCGGGTGGTTTTTTTCTCCAGACAAATTTCGACTGTTTTACTAAAAAATTTTAACAGAATTTTTTTTATATCATTCAAAATACATTGTTTGAGCAGAAAAAAATTGAGCACAAATATAAAAAGATAATTGAGCTGTGATCCTTTTTTTTCTTAATATACGGGGTTTAAAAATTGCTAATTTGGCTAAATTGGGAAAATTAACGCGCAATATAAATCGTGCTATTAATACGGTGTCAGGACAAAAGATACCATACCAAAAGCTCCCATGACAAAAGATACCATACCAAAAGATCCCTTGTATAAAAATCGCCCATACCATAAAATCCCATGCCAATTAAAAAGATCCCATGAATTATGAACAAAAATCATGATCAAAGTGTAAGCAGAAATAAATCTAGAGTAATAAGCCGACAAATTTGCGTTATTTGTAATTAATTTTTGGTTCGTTTACAATTTGGTGGTGGATTTAATTAAAAAATTTTCATTTGATTGGAGGATTGCCTCCGGATTCCAGAGACTCACTTGCACGAGCCGCCTTATGAGATTTTTTTGGGCCTAATAATCAAATTTAAAATGTTTTTTTTTTGACACCAAGATTTTTTTATACGTTTTCTAGTATTGATAAAATCATGACGGAAAGATCTGTAATAGTATTTATCACTCGACCTCATCTTTTTTTGTAACTGATTTTGAATGGGAAAATTTCTTGCCTTGTACAAAAAGCATGTCTTGTACAAAAATTCTCCCTGTTTCCGGTGGTTGGAACAAATTATTTTCACAAGCTTTAAGGGAGCTCCGTTTCATTAAAAAAATTCTAATACAAACTCTAAAGCAAACCACTTTTCCCACGCTCATTATCAAATCACGGATCAAAGTTTAAGATTAGAAGTTTCACTAACTGTCATGGATCGACGCTGGCTGTTCTCCCCTCCTCCGATGTTTTTTCCAAACCACCAAATAGACTCATCTGGTCTACAGATTCTTGTTACTATAATCTGGTCACGCAACTTCATGTCAATCTCATTTCTGCACTTTGCATCGTACTCGTGAACACATTCGCCCTGAAACAGTTAGCTGTATTGTTTTCTATAGCTAACTGCAACTTGGCATCAATATCGGTGACTTTGAGAACTTGAATCGGTCACAAGCATTGGTCGAAAAAAATCAAGAAAACTGTCAAAAATTTCGCGGTAAGAGTTTTTAAATATTTGCAAACTTTCTCAAAATCAAAAAGTTTAAAATCTTTTGTTTTTGAAAAAAAGACTTGTTTAAATTAGCTTATTATGAAAGGATAATCGCTGGCTTATTTTCTTTATAACTAACTTGAATCAATCCGGGCTCGTTGAATGCCCGGCGAGCCGAGTTGTAGTAATTTCCGAATGGGTCCAGGCAAAACCACTTAAGGGCTTTATTGCAACGAATCAATGTCGTCTTTTTCTTCGTTTTATTGATCAAATCTATGTATTCGCGCAATTTTTGTTCAATCTCTATCACCGAACTATCTTCTGAAAAATTGATCTGATGTTGTAGTATACTTTCTAGAGACGGCAGCAATGTTAAAGCTCGGCTTCTTGACTCGCTGTCCAGCATTCTATTCGTCGGCGACACTCGTTTGCTTTCGTCATAACAGTTATGAAGATGGTGATCAAGTTTTATAAAATCGTAAATACTTCTTCTAATTGTGAACGATGTAGTCGTGCGTCGACGAACGGCAGTCGTCACTCGGATTTCATAGCTGTCGGCCGCATTCGGAGTTCTCCGTTCCTCGTACTCGTTTTCGGAGAGGGGAATGAGTTCCAAAGTCACATTGTCCAGTTGCAGTTTGTCGAATATGTGGTGACCTTGAATTAGTCGAACGTTTGAGTTGTCGTTGTCGTTGTTATTTTGGTCGTTTTGGCCTGCTTTTATCTCAGAGAGCTCCTAAAAACCATAAAATTGAAAATAATAACCGATGAGTGGCGTTGATGAAAGAAACTCCTATTATTCGCTGCAGTAGAGATTTTAACAGAAATGATTTCAAGAACGAAATTTTGCTTTGCTGAGACCATAGGCGAACAAATCAAATATTTGATATTTTTCTACAACTAAAAAGTAATGACTCATACCTTCAGCGATAAAATTATTAGATGGTTGATCTTAAAAGCTCCTGTTTAAATTTTGCTGCAATAATTCAAAAAAACTTGCTAAGTCTTAAAAAATTTTTTGCAAGAGCATTGGCAAAGTGGTGCTCTCCATATGAATAAGAGCAGTATGGATCATTGCTCAAGAGTGAGAAAACGTTCACCAGCTCCAGAAAAAAAACAAATAAGTTAAAACAAGTGCACAGTAGAGGCTGTTCGCAAGGAACTGGAAATCTTTTGAGCAAGGTACTTTCCTAAGTAATGGCTTTTGAGACTTCATCGATGATAAAGCCAATGCCGATCTCTGAATCTTAATCGACTACCGACCGAAGTCAACACTGTTATAACGTCTGAAGTCGATGAAATATTGCATGCGAAATAATTCACTCACCAAGACAGCGCGGAAAGAGAAGATCGAAAAACGGGGTCTCATCTTCCCTTTAGATTTGAAATTGAATTCAGATAGAACACAAAGAACGAATAATTGAGATGCATACGAAACAACTGAAACTATTCGAATTTAGAAGAGTCCCAAATTTCTTCGTGACCAAGTTATGATTTTGAGCGTTTTTCAAGAAAGGAAGGCAGCAACGTTTCAAACAGACATCAAATACCATTGACTGTGTTTGCAAACCCGCATACAATGAGGTCAACCAACAAAAACCTACTTCAAAACACAAATAAAATGCAATAAATACCTAAATGTCTTTTCATATTTGCATAAATGAAGTACCAATAGACATTATAGGTAATTACTATAAAAGTGAGTTATGACTGGAGTGTATAACTCATAGAGTAATTTCGGATAGGGTACACCGTCTGCTCGTCACGCTATCTTATTTTCGGCCGGATAGATTCGTGCAACTTCTTAGTCTAATACCGATCCTAATCTTACTCTTATACTATCTAGTCTCAGGTTGTTTAACTAGTCTCTGCTAGGCTCAATAGATCTAGGGTATACTGGTTTATTGCGGCTGCTGAAGTGCTCGGGAGAGTCCAACTAATTTCTAAGTTAAATTCAAATCTCTCTGGTGCTGAAATTACAAGTAACTTCAGCACTTACAAATAAGTGGGTTGTTAGTTAGATGGATCATGATTGGTTAATATTAAATACTTTACATTGGTAAAATATCTAAATTATCCAATCATAAAATGTAGTCTAGATCAGGTTCCACCCATCCGGGTTTTACAGAGTTTTTTAGAATAGTTCTTCTGCAATTCGAAGGATGGATGATGGACGTTGGTGTTTGGCGAACATCATATTTCTTCTGTTTCCTCTTTGTTAAAGAAGTTCCAGGAAGCTGGAGTTAGAGACATAAGACGTTGTGTCTTCTAGTGACAACGACTAAGTCTTTGCAACAAACTCAAATCTGATTTCAGAATGGTTTGCTATGTCAGGTTTTTCTGTTCTGCGTGGAGATTGTGCGTGGAGGGGATGCCTGGTTACTCGGATCTGTACGTTTACTTGAACATCGAGGTGGTCATTGGTCTAGTTCAATGAAGTCCTTTTCTGCGAAGTCAAGTCGTACTCTAAATCCTTTGAGTTGTGATTGTGAGTGGCATATCGATTGTGGTTGGTCATTCTCTCTCGAGTGTAGTGGGGTCGTTTTGTCTTTAGATGTTCGTCCTTGGTGTTGTATTCTGATCTATGTATTGCATAATGTAATTTACATTTTATAAAACATTTATTAGTTTAATATTTTTTAATTATGATTTTAGTTAGTTGTTTTCACAAAAGCTTTTTGTTTTAGTTCGGTTATTTTGAAGAGTTACTCACACTTGAGTAGCTCTTATTAAAAATAGAGGTGTGGTCACAAAGCGTGGATGTAGCGCGGTGGGTTAGGCCGGCTATAGAGCATGCTCAGGACGTCCTTCCTGGTGGGTTAGGCCAGGAGTGGGAGTATGATTTCATGCGGTTTTTGTGAGGGGTCCTGTTATGTGACAACGTTTTATGTTGGGTTTGTTGTGGTTTTTCTTATGTCTTGTTGGTTATGTCCTTTTTCCAAAAAGCAAATTGTTCGTGGTATGGGTTTGTCTTTCGACTTTTTTGTGTTTTATTATTTCTTTCTTAGACTTTATAATAGTCTTCAAAAGAATAAATTATCCAGTTTTAAACTGGGTTAATCCGGTTTGGGTACCGTTGGTTTCCTTTTCTTAGTCATGCTGTTATGCTATGTGTTGTGGTGTTTAGTAAGCTGCATTGGTTAGTTTTGTTTAGTATATAATTCCTTTCCAACCGGGTTAAAGGAAAGTTTAAAACGTGTTATCTTGTGTTAGAGTTATCGAGTGTGAAAGCTTGAAACTGAAATTCATTATTTTAAACAATTCTTCGTGGGCGAGCTGTGCGAGTGTGGATAGAATGTCTGTGCGAATGAATGAAAATATCAAAAGGTTAGTACTGCATTTGCATTTTATTAATTTACTGCATAGAATTTGGAAATTTACTGCTAGTTATGGGGGAATTTTAAGTTACAAATTTTCATCATAATTAGATTTACTGCTTGTGGGGAAAATTTTAGAAATGAATTTACTGCATTGGTATTAAATTTATAAATTTATAAGTGTAAGAGATTAATAGAAATTTTGAAATCTGTTTGATGAAATTTGCGATTTTTATTTGTCTTTTGTTTCGTTATTATTTTTCTTTTTAGTGTTTGTCGTTTTGTTCGAATGTATCCAACTGTTTGTGTATGAGGTGTGATTACAAGGTCGTATTTTTTGTTATCTATTTCACAATTGTGTAAAACAATTGTTTGTTTATTTCCTAGGTTTTTAAATGACATAAGGTTTAGGATGACGGATGCAAAAGGTTGTTAAATGGTTTCTATTTTCCTAAACTGTTAGTTCTTACGATTTTTTGGTTAGCTTAACCTGGGTCTATTTGTTCAGGGTTGGAGAGAAAAGTATATCGATTCCGAAGAATGATTTTATACTTTCTCGTGGCTAGTATAAGTTAAAGTGTTAACTTACTTAATCTTACTTAGGGGTAGTGATTGTGTTCAAGGGTTGGAGAATAGTAAATCGATCCACAAGGTTCAGGTATAATTAGAACGCGAGTAGTTCGTTAGATACTATTTTAAACTTACTAAGTCTAAGATTTATCCTGGGTCTGGTAAGAGGGGGGGGTCAAGTGAAGGATGAATAACCGAAGTTCTTCACTGTTTATCCTAATTTGAATGATTAGTTTTGTTTAAAAATTTCTATTAGTCTTAGGTCTTTAGAAAGGGTTGGGTAGTGAATCGACGTTTGAGGTCGTTAGACACTAATTAAGTGGGTGGGGGAGAACAAAGTTGTTCTGTTTGATCCAAGGATAAGCCTTGATGATCAAATTTGAAATTTAATTAAGTAGAAAATGATTTAAGATCCAAGGATAAGCCTTGATGATCTGGTTTTAAAATTAAGTGAATTTAAGTTTTAATAAAATTTTAAATGTGTGTAAAGGAAAGATTTAGTGTTTTGATGATATTAGTGGGTTTATGATTGCTGTTATGTTTTAGATGATGGAGCTGGAACAACAGGATGATTTATGATTACTAACCATTTATTGTCATGCTACTAATTTTTATTTTTATTTTTCAATAAATATTTTTCAAACATGTTTTGTATATTACTGCAGAGTTTTAGGAAAACGATCTTAGATCTTTTTATCAATCGTTATTGTATATTAATAATTTTGTTTAGCGCCTGAAATGATTTTGAAGATTAACTTCAAGGTTTTATGTTTGCAAATGAAAATCTAAATTCATTGCCAGTAGTATTCTAAATATAAAAGTTTGTTCTGGTTTTTGCCTAACTATCATATAGCTATATGGCAAATTTCTACTTTGTCGTATGTCGTCTCTGGTTCGAGGTCTTCTTCCAATTCCGGGTAGTTCTGTTATGGTTCGGAATATTGGCTCTGATCTATTGAGTCGTAGAGACATTTCGATTAAATTATTGTCGTATAACATTTTGTAAATGTTTTTGTCTAATTTCTAATCTATTTTGGTTAATTCTAAGCTATTAAGGTCTTGTTCGAGACTTATGGTCGCACCAGATGAGTTATGACTGGAGTGTATAACTCATAGAGTAATTTCGGATAGGGTACACCGTCTGCTCGTCACGCTATCTTATTTTCGGCCGGATAGATTCGTGCAACTTCTTAGTCTAATACCGATCCTAATCTTACTCTTATACTATCTAGTCTCAGGTTGTTTAACTAGTCTCTGCTAGGCTCAATAGATCTAGGGTATACTGGTTTATTGCGGCTGCTGAAGTGCTCGGGAGAGTCCAACTAATTTCTAAGTTAAATTCAAATCTCTCTGGTGCTGAAATTACAAGTAACTTCAGCACTTACAAATAAGTGGGTTGTTAGTTAGATGGATCATGATTGGTTAATATTAAATACTTTACATTGGTAAAATATCTAAATTATCCAATCATAAAATGTAGTCTAGATCAGGTTCCAAAAGGCCACATCAGTAATTAAAATGTTTCGATCATAATGTTACACTAAAAGTACAGGATATCCGAAAAAGATGTTGATTGACACATGACGTTAAAAGTCTCACCAAAATGATTCCATATCAACTAATTTTCTTGACATTTTTTCATCTTAATTTAATATGATTTTTTACTTAACCAGCCCGGATGCTTAAGCCGGAGGTTAATTAAATAAGGTTAAACTAAACCACACTTAACCATGAGCCCATTAAACTGTGATAAATTTTCAAACCTCGCCTGACAATTTTCAGCGCAAATGCGATTTGAAACAGCTATTATATGATTACTGGGCAACATCACAGTGACCGCTCGACTGGCGTAAAAATTTAAAATCACGAAACTATATCGACTAGCATAATTTTGATAGCTTTATTTTTCAGAAATACCGAAGAAAACCGGGGAGTTAAGCAACTAACCAGCAAATGAAATTTTTTTATACAAAAATTGAAAGGCGGAGCAAGAAGCAGAATGGTCTAACAGCAGGATGAGTCCTAAAGCAGAAAAACAGAAAAATATTAACTTTTACTGAATAAAACGGGCAAATTGATAAAAATAATCATGAGAATCATCAATAATACAACGAAAATGTATAAATTATTCATCAGTGACAGTTATTGTACTTAATTTACCGATCAGCTTATAAAATTTAATATTTTTATGTTTTTCTGCTCTTGGACTCATTCTGCTCTTAGACCATTCTGCTTATTGACTGGCCACCAAAAATTGTGATCAGTCAGACCCAGACCTGCAGTGGCTTGAACCGAATACTGAGTGCCGCACAAATTTTGAAATACGTCTGAGTAAGAAAAAAACTGTGATTTATGTTTTTTTTTGCTGTAAAATGATCATATATTTGATAACATTTGACTTTTATGTATTGATTTTTGGGTGTTTTTTATTCTGTTCAATGAAACTTAACATCACATCCTTTTATAACAGGACGAGTTGCTCCAACTACACGATACGGTCGTTTTTATTTTCAATCAGTCAGATGTAAGTATTTGCTTTTCTGTTTTCATGTTAAACAATTACAATTTTGAGCGGAATAATTAAAAAGACCCAAATTTTTATGCTAGTTGACACAATTTTTGTTTTTAAAACCTTTATGCAATTCGAGTTTTATGCTATTCCATACACCGCTAACATCAATATACCGGATACCTAAGGGACTTGAAGTCGAAAATTAAGCTTCACGAGCACCAAAAAATCACTATGTTTTATCTGTAAAACCTTGCTTTTCAAAAGGTTAGGCAAACTTAGTCCATAATAAGCCTTATTCATGACAATGCATCTCTTAGAATTGACATCCCCGAATAACATCAGCCGGTTTTTGAAATGCATAAATTATAAACAAGAAAATTGCTTTCAACAGTGTTTCAGTTTTCAGCTTTCCTAAACATCATTTGGAGGTTAAAATTTTTATCACAATGCCAATAAAAAGTGAAAAGTTATCATGAAATTGAAAAATTGTTCAAAAAAAGCTTTAAATTAATCATATTTCAGGACTTAATGAGAAAACATTCGGCTTTAAGTCCCTTATTTTACGATTCGACTTCAAGTCCCGTCGGATGCCCCACCACGATACAAATTAGAGTCACTTACAGGTAAAATTTTTGATACTGCAACACCAACATTACGTTTACTAATTCGAAGAGATGACCACAACTTAGACTTTTTTGGGCAACATTCATCCTAATACCGCAATGATTCGGCTATGAGCGCATTGAGTTCGAATGTTAATTAAATAACGAATCATGGTTATTCAATTATTTTTTTCCCTAAAGGCTAGATTTTTAAAAGTAGCAGTTTTATTTATCCGGTTTTTCCATTGAAATGTACATAAAGTGTCCGAGGTAAGAAAGCGAAAAATCCTAGCCCATAAAATTTGACACAAGTCATGAGACATTAAAGAGTAGTGACCACTTGCTCCACTGCACTTACATTCAACGTGAGATGTATAGTGCGCGTGAAACAATTTTTAACATTCAAACAACTGTTACAAACTTTCGTCTGCTACGAAAGTTCCTCTGTTACGAATTGTCATCACTTACAAAACTTTAGGCATTCATTTTCACTTCTGCATTGATTTGAATTTTGGCTATTTTAGCGACAAAGCGGCATCAAATAATTTGTTTGAAACCAGAAAAGTGTACATTTTTGACATCCTCATTTTTATAGACAAAATGCTACAGTTTCTTAAAGTTAAATTATTTTTTACATTCTTTGCTTACCTTTTGCTGTTGCTTAGTTCCAAAAATCTTATCAGAGAAGTTTCTGCAATTACTCTGAAAGTTTATTTTTTAGCTGATTGCTTATGAATTGTCAACTGTTACAAATTTTTGCCTTGCTACAAGTCGTAGCTTGTTACAAAGCTTCGCTCGCGAAAAAGTCGTCGTCTGTTACGAATCGCAGCCTCACGGAAAACGAAGTGTATAAAAACAAACTTTTTGCAAGCGCTGTAGTTTTAGTTTAAAAGGCAATCTCATTCTTCAAAAACGTACCAATTATTTTCGCAGACGGCTGAACAAAAAATTCAAAAATGTTTTTCTCCGACGTCGTTCAACCTTTCTTTCAAACTCACCCTCGTCTCGTGCTGGCCCCTTTCGGCACTGTCACACCTCCGCTGCCGACAACTCTCCTCCAAATCGCCCAGCAACATGTCTTTCTTGCTCATTGCTATGTTGGAACTGCTTCTCCAACGATTAGTAATGGAATTACTCCTGGACGAGGAGGCGGCAGCGATTCCCGGATTCAAAATGTGGTTACGCGATATCATAGCTTATAAACAGCGCAAAGCACAAACACAATACAGTTTATGGCTCAAAATTAATTCCAACTCTAAACGTTTATATATATTTACATGATCGATTTGAAACAACTGCTCAGATGTGCTCAACTGAATGGTCCTTTGAGATGTTTGAAGATGCAAATAGAGGTTCAAAATAAATACTAACCGAAAGTCGATTTTGTAAGCTTATATAATCATGATTCGTTATTTAATTAACATTCGAACTCAATGCGCTCATAGCCGAATCATTGCGGTAGTAGGATGAATGTTGCCCAAAAAAGTCTAAGTTGTGGTCATCTCTTCGAATTAGTAAACGTAATATTGGTGTTGCGATTACTGAGACCTAGTCGCAATTAACTGAATGACAGCGCAATTACTCATAGAAGTTAATTCCTAAGTATAGAGGGAGAGCTGAATATATCACAGATAGTCAAGAACTTTTTTTCAGTGGAGAAGGCAAAAAATGGTTAAAAACTAAACAAATAATGCTACCTTTTTCAAAAAAGGTTGTGAAAAAATAAATGAGTAGTTACAAAGTAATTCATAACAACAACTCTTTGTCTATAGGTATGTATATGGTAAGAAAGGCAATAATATCCACTCAAATTAGCTTTTTAATATGAAAAAAAATGAAGCTAAAAGCCTTAAAATAAGAGCGGAAATGAATGCCTTTAACGTGAAATCACTTTCTAATATTAGAAATAACACATTTCCTTTACTACGCTATAAGCTACTCTATAAATGTTCCTTGGCAACCAGGTAAAATAGAACTTTACGTCCCCTTCACACGAAATTTGAAACTGCTCTTGGTCTTCAATTTGGCGGCTCAACAAATGTTTTGTACCAACGTTCTGCCGCTTTACCTAAATAAACTCTAAGGAGTGCATTAATCTTCCAGAAAGTTAGTAGCAGGCGCAGATAAAGGATTTTCTCGAGGGCTTGGGTTTTCAAATTTTTCATCGACTTTTTTAAGTCGACCAGTTTTCTTTTCTAAGCTCTCCCAAAACATTTTAAAAAAACCTGTTTTGACAGCATTTTTTGCTCCGCAGAGACGAACTTCAGAAAACAGGTCAAAAATCACAACTTTAGGCAGTTTTTTGGAAAAAATTTTGCTTCTTTTTGCACGCATTCCTTCAAAATCAGTGTATCTTGGTCCCGAAGGCGTATTTCAAAAATTTGTAAATTAACTGAAATTAGGACGATTTATCCACAAGAAAAAAGTAGGGACTAAGTATATTGCGCGTTAACTATCCCAATTTTAATTTAAGTCATCAAAACAATCTCAATGTTCAACACCTCCAGCACTTTGCAAAAGTTAATTGCTGGTTAAATTTCCTCTACTGAGCCCTGGGTAATAAATTTTTCACAAAGTATGAAAAAAAAATTCATATAGGTCAGGTTCAATATGAATTCATTTCTCAACTAGGGTTAAAAGTC